CCATTGATTGCAGCTTCCTAATAAGTCTCCCATGTGGAACAGTGTCAAACGCTTTCTGGAAGTCTAGGAATATGCAATCTGCCCAGCCCTCTCTTTCCTGTAAGATTTGGCTTACCTCATCATAAAATTATAATAAGTTTGTTACTGTTGATCTTCCTTCTCTGAAGCCATGTTGCCTCACTGACAAAAAGTTGAAGGATTCCAGGTGAAGAGAGATATGTTTCCTTAGTAGTTTCTCCATAAGTTTGCAAACTATGCTGGTCAAGGAAACTGGTCTATAGTTCAGAGCCGTATCCCTCCTTCCCTTTTTGAAGATAGGTATCACATTTGCTTGTTTCCAGCATCTTGGAATCTCCCCCGACTCCAGTGACTCCTTAAATATGATACTTAGTGCCACTGATATTGTGTTTGCGCATTTTTTAAGCACATGAGGGGATATGTCATCAGGACCTGTAGCTTTATGAACATCTAAATCCATCAGCGCTTTGCATACCTCTGTGGCTGTAAGGTTGATGTTCTCTAATACCGGCCCTTGAGCTTCTATCACTGCAATCTGAGGGGGTGGGGTATTTTCTACTGTAAATACTGACTGAAACTCCTTGTTCAATTCTTTGCAGATCTCTTCGTCCGTCTCAGTGATGCTTCCATCCGCTCTCTTTAGCCTTAAAACCTGTTCTTTTACCTTCAGTTTTCCTCTGATAAAGCTGTGGAAAAGCTTGGGATTTTCTTTAGCCTTCCTGGTGATGTCCCTCTCATAATCTCTCTCTGCCTCTCTCCTTTTACTTAGGTAGTCATTTCTTGCTCTTTTGTAGGTTTGCCAGGCATTTATGTTTTTTCTCCTCCTATACCTTTTCCAGCATTTGTCTCTCCACTCCTTAGCTCTTTTACACCCATTATCGAACCATTTCTCTCTGGCATGAATTACACCTACTTTGGTGACAAGGTATGCAGCAATCTACTATCTTCCCATATTTCTCACAAAAGATCTCATACATTTCTTGTACAGATTTGTTGTAAAATAAGGTTCTCCAGTCAATAACTGCAAAAAGCTCATTCATTTTGATGTAATCTCCTTTCGGATAGTTCCTCCTCATGTCCTCAGTGCCTCTACTCTCAGGAAGAATGTCTTCAATGATATACTCCATCAACAACACACAGTGGTCACTCTTTCCAATAGGTGGTTCATACTCAATATTTTCAATATCCAACACATTATCTGTGAACACTAGATCAAGTAGTGATGGCTCATCCCCACCCCTGGCTCTTGTTGGTTCCATTACATGTTGGTGTAGGAAATTCCCTTGTACGCAATTTAGGAATCTTGCCCCAAATGAGTCCTCACCACTGTGTGGGTCAAGATTTATCCAATCTATCTCTTTATGATTAAAGTCTCCCATAATCAAAATCCTACATTTTTTCTCCCGTGCCATGTTAACAACTGAGTTTATGACTTCAATAGTACCTATATGACTTTCCTCATAAATTTCAAGCCTATTTTGGTTCCTAGTTATTATAATGCTCTCTGACCCAGTATTTATGCGAGCAACAAGAAATTCCCTGAACTCACTTTCTATAGCCAAGTTTATTTCTTCAACTTGAATCCTCTCACTTATGAGCAGTGCTATCCCTCCACCAGTCCTCTCAGATCTTTCGACCCTTAGTATTCTGAAGCCCTTAGGAAAAACTGTGACACTGTTTATGTCCTCACTCAACTTAGTCTCTGTAATTGCTACTATATCTGCCTTACTGTTGTGGATCCTATCTTTTAATTCTACTGCCTTACCAGCTAATCCATCAGCATTTGTGTATAACAATCTTAATGAGGCCCCATCCCCTGATCTTCTGTCATTATCTTCTTTATCTCCCCTTTGTCTGGAAGTATTCTGTAACGAAAATTTTTCTTCTCTTCTTCATTTCTTTCATCATTTAACCTTCTTGCCTCTTGCAACAAGTTTTTGATCTTTCCCATCTCTTCCTGTGTTCTGTATCGTCTAATGAACACTTCTTTGCATTCTTGAAGGTCTTTTAGACTTTTTTTTCTCAACAATATTTCCCTACATGTTTCCCCTCTCTCAAAGGTTACTTTTGTTGGTCTCGGCTTTCCTTCCCTCGAATATTTACCTAGTTGGTGTATGTTTACAATATCCTCAGGACCACATACTACTCCAAGCTTTCTTATCAGGTCTACAATGCTAGCTTTATTTTCTTCAAGTCTCCCCTGCCATGTTGGCTCCTGGGATTCACTTATGCCTGAGATTACCACTGTCTTCTCCTTATCAAGTGCCTGTCTGATGAGTGGGTTTGCCCTTTCCATCACAACGTCTTTCATTTTTTCGATTACTGTCTCTTTATAGTCAACTGTTTGTATGTTTTCCAGTGCCACCACCTTTACAGCCTCTTTTACTGCCACATTTCCCTTTAGTGCATCAGCAAAGGACGTTTTCATGGCATCATTTTCCATATTCAGCTCCTGGAACTCTTTTCTGAACTGTTCAATGTT